CTCGTCTCAGCAGAATTAAGTATCTTACTCTTAATGGGATTCAAACCCATGCAACACTGTCTTGCACTTAGCAACAGACAGCCTAAGGTCTTTTATTAGTAAAAAAAAAAAGCTTACTTAGTTAGAAGTATCTAACTCTTAATGGGATTCAAACCCATACAACACTGTCTTGCACTGGAAAATAGACAGCTTATGTTCCTTGATCAGTAGAAAAGGTACTCGTCTAAGCAGAATTAAGTATCTAACTCTTTAATGGGATTCAAACCCATGCAACACTGTCTTGCACTTAGCAACAGACAGCCTAAGTTCTTTTATTAGTAGAAAAAAGCTCACTTAGTCAGAAGTATCTAACTCTTAATGGGATTCAAACCCATACAACACTGTCTAGCACTGGAAAACAGACAGCTTATGTTCTTTGATTAGTAGAAAAAGTACTTGTCTAGGCAGAATTAAGTATCTAACTCTTAATGGGATTCAAACCCATGCAATACTGTCTTGCACCTAGCAACAGACAGCCCAAGTTCTTTTATTAGTAAAAAAAGCTCACTTAGTTAGAAGTATCTAGCTCTTAATGGGATTCAAACCCATACAACACTGTCTAGCACTGGAAAACAGACAGCTTATGTTCTTTGATTAGTAGAAAAAGGACTTGTCTAGGCAGAATTAAGTATCTAACTCTTAATGGGATTCAAACCCATGCAATACTGTCTTGCACCTAGCAACAGACAGCCCAGGTTTTTTTATTAGTTAAAAACAAGGCTCACTTAGTCAGAAGTACCTAACTCTTAATGGGATTCAAACCCATACAACACTGTCTTGCACTTAGCAACAGACAGCCTAAGTTCTTTTATTAGTAAAAAAAAGCTCACTTAGTCAGAAGTATCTAACTCTTAATGGGATTCAAACCCATACAACACTGTGTTGCACTGGAAAACAGACAGCTTATGTTCTTTGATTAGTAGAAAAAGGACTTGTCTAGGCAGAATTAAGTATCTAACTCTTAATGAGATTCAAACCCATGCAATACTGTCTTGCACCTAGCAACAGACAGCCCAAGTTCTTTTATAAGTAAAAAAAGCTCACTTAGTTAGAAGTATCTAGCTCTTAATGGGATTCAAACCCATACAACACTGTCTTGCACTGGAAAACAGACAGCTTATGTTCCTTGATCAGTAGAAAAGGTACTCGTCTAAGCAGAATTAAGTATCTTACTCTTAATGGGATTCAAACCCATGCAACAGTCTTGCACTTAGCAACAGACAGCCTAAGTTCTTTTATTAGTAGAAAAAAGCTCACTTAGTCAGAAGTATCTAACTCTTAATGGGATTCAAACCCATACAACACTGTCTTGCACTGGAAAACAGACAGCTTATGTTCTTTGATTAGTAGAAAAAGTACTTGTCTAGGCAGAATTAAGTATCTAACTCTTAATGGGATTCAAACCCATGCAATACTGTCTTGCACCTAGCAACAGACAGCCCAAGTTCTTTTATTAGTAAAAAACAAGGCTCACTTAGTCAGAAGTACCTAACTCTTAATGGGATTCAAACCCATACAACACTGTCTTGCACTTAGCAACAGACAGCCTAAGTTCTTTTTTTAGTAAAAAAAAAGCTCACTTAGTCGGAAATATCTAACTCTTAATGGGATTCAAACCCATACAACACTGTCTTGCACTGGAAAACAGACAGCTTATGTTCTTTGATTAGAAGAAAAAGGACTTGTCTAGGCAGAATTAAGTATCTAACTCTTAATGGGATTCAAACCCATGCAATACTGTCTTGCACCTAGCAACAGACAGCCCAAGTTCTTTTATTAGTAAAAAAAACTCACTTAGTCAGAAGTATTTAACTCTTAATGGGATTCAAACCCATGCAACACTGTCTTGCACTTAGCAACAGACAGCCTAAGTTCTTTTATTAGTAGAAAAAAGCTCACTTAGTCAGAAGTTCCTAACTCTTAATGGGATTCAAACCCATACAACACTGTCTTGCACTGGAAAACAGACAGCTTATGTTCCTTGATCAGTAGAAAAGGTACTCGTCTCAGCAGAATTAAGTATCTTACTCTTAATGGGATTCAAACCCATGCAACACTGTCTTGCACTTAGCAACAGACAGCCTAAGGTCTTTTATTAGTAAAAAAAAAAGCTTACTTAGTTAGAAGTATCTAACTCTTAATGGGATTCAAACCCATACAACACTGTCGTGCACTGGAAAACAGACAGCTTATGTTCCTTGATCAGTAGAAAAGGTACTCGTCTAAGCAGAATTAAGTATCTTACTCTTAATGGGATTCAAACCCATGCAACACTGTCTTGCACTTAGCAACAGACAGCCTAAGTTCTTTTATTAGTAGAAAAAAGCTCACTTAGTCAGAAGTATCTAACTCTTAATGGGATTCAAACCCATACAACACTGTCTAGCACTGGAAAACAGACAGCTTATGTTCTTTGATTAGTAGAAAAAGGACTTGCCTAGGCAGAATTAAGTATCTAACTCTTAATGGGATTCAAACCCATGCAATACTGTCTTGCACCTAGCAACAGACAGCCCAAGTTCTTTTATTAGTAAAAAAAGCTCACTTAGTAGGAAGTATCTAGCTCTTAATGGGATTCAAACCCATACAACACTGTCTTGCACTGGAAAACAGACAGCTTACGTTCTTTGATTAGTAGAAAAAGGACTTGTCTAGGCAGAATTAAGTATCTAACTCTTAATGGGATTCAAACCCATGCAATACTGTCTTGCACCTAGCAACAGACAGCCCAGGTTTTTTTATTAGTAAAAAACAAGGCTCACTTAGTCAGAAGTATCTAACTCTTAATGGGATTCAAACCCATACAACACTGTCTTGCACTGGAAAACAGACAGCTTATGTTCTTTGATTAGTAGAAAAAGTACTTGTCTAGGCAGAACTAAGTATCTAACTCTTAATGGGATTCAAACCCATGCAATACTGTCTTGCACCTAGCAACAGACAGCCTAAGTTCTTTTATTAGTAAAAAACAAGGCTCACTTAGTCAGAAGTACCTAACTCTTAATGGGATTCAAACCCATACAACACTGTCTTGCACTTAGCAACAGACAGCCTAAGTTCTTTTATTAGTAAAAAAAAAGCTCACTTAGTCGGAAATATCTAACTCTTAATGGGATTTAAACCCATACAACACTGTCTTGCACTGGAAAACAGACAGCTTATGTTCTTTGATTAGTAGAAAAAGGACTTGTCTAGGCAGAATTAAGTATCTAACTCTTAATGGGATTCAAACCCATGCAATACTGTCTTGCACCTAGCAACAGACAGCCCAAGTTCTTTTATTAGTAAAAAAAACTCACTTAGTCAGAAGTATCTAGCTCTTAATGGGATTCAAACCCATACAACACTGTCTTGCACTGGAAAACAGACAGCTTATGTTCCTTGATCAGTAGAAAAGGTACTCGTCTAAGCAGAATTAAGTATCTTACTCTTAATGGGATTCAAACCCATGCAACACTGTCTTGCACTTAGAACAGACAGCCTAAGTTCTTTTATTAGTAGAAAAAAGCTCACTTAGTCAGAAGTATCTAACTCTTAATGGGATTCAAACCCATACAACACTGTCTAGCACTGGAAAACAGACAGCTTATGTTCTTTGATTAGTAGAAAAAGTACTTGTCTAGGCAGAATTAAGTATCTAACTCTAAATGGGATTCAAACCCATACAACACTGTCTTGCACTGGAAAACATACAGCTTATGTTCCTTGATCAGTAGAAAAGGTACTCGTTTAAGCAGAATTAAGTATTTAACTCTTAATGGGATTCAAACCCATGCAACACTGTCTTGCACTGAGCAACAGATACTAAAAGTTTTTTTGGTCAGTAGGAAAGGAACTTGCTTTAGCAAAAGTGCCTAAATCTTAATGGGATTCAAACCCATGAAACATTGTATTGCACTGAGCAACACACCATGAAAGTTCTTTGATCATCAGAAAAAACTTGCTTAAGCAAAATTATCTAACTCTTAATGGGATTCAAACCCATGAAACACTGTCTTGCACTGAGCAACAGACAGTGACAGTTCTTTTTAAAGTAGAAAAGGATCTTGCTTCTGCAAAGTGTCCAACTCTTAATGGGATTCAAACCCATGAAACACTGTCTTGTACAGGGTAACAGAGAGTGAAAGCACTTAAATGGAAAAAAATCTCTATAGTGTATGCCAAAAGCATTGAAACCCATCAAATTGGCATTTTAAAGACTAGAAGTACAACAGTTAAGCAAGAATTGCAACAAGGCATTTTGTACAATGACCCATTGTGCTTTTAAGTTCTTTTATAGAGGCTATGGTGTTTGCAGGATGGTCAATCAGAATTTCCTGGATAAGTCATCGGTTTACATCAAATTTGTGTTGCTGGCTGGGCCAACCATAAAAGAAGAACAAATCTACAGCCTACATGTACACCCTGGACAAGCAAGCTAAAGGTTGGTAATACTTAAAAACAACAACTTTTGAAGAGCACTATACCATAACACCATAACTGCCCCAGTTAAAAATTCAACAGATGAAAATAAGATTTTAAGGTAAATAAACTACTTTTATCAGTACATAAAAACACTTTCACATAGTAAAGTACAATCAACAAAGAAAAAAGTTTAAAACAGTTCACTGTAACTATTTTTTTTTTTTTGGGGGGGGGGGGGTCGTCACAATAATGTAGTTGATGATAAGTTAACCCTTTAACTCCCAAAATCTGATTGTTAATTCTCCTCTCTAGCTGCTACTTGTAGATAAGTTAAGAGAATTTGGAGTCAGATTGAGATCACAACTTTGACCTGATAAGTTTGAATATTCTCATGACCTGTTTGTTTGATAATGTTTAGTTATTATAGGGAGAAGTTACTTTTTATCACCTCTGGGAGTTAAAGGGTTAAAACTATTTATGAAGACTCAATTATCCAATCTATGCCTGAGATGTGTTTAAATTTGTACATAAACGCATTTCATTTGTTTAGTTCTTACCAGCTTCATTATGTACCTGAACTGTGTGGTGATCTAAATGCTTCAAACTGGTGAAACCAACCTATATGGATAATAACACACTCCTGGTTATGACTTTATAAAGGTAGGAAAAATAATTAAGGCTGCTAATGGTGACATAATATAAAGGGGAATAATCTATTAATTCAATAGTAATAAAATTAAGCCCTCAGTTTTAAGCATAGGGAATGTGAGTATGCCACAATGAATGCATGACCATCTCATTAAAAACAAGTAAGACATCAAGCTAGCAACCTGATGGCAAAAAACAAATTTACTCCTCTAAGCATACGCCTTTCATATCAAAATTTGTGAGCTACAAAAATGAGAGCAAAAGATGCATAGTTATCTCTTATGTGCAACTCTCTTTTTAAAAGTATCTATCTCTTTTCTATTATTCCAGTTTGTTGGCATTATTCATTGTTTATTGTGCAAATTCATGTTTGGATTTGGTCATTAATTTTGCTTTTGAATTTTGCCCTTCAATGTATCAATACAAGTGTGTAAATGTGTACTTTTGTGTTCTAGGCATGTACTAGGCAGACCTCTACTAATGATTGAAGTTGAACTTTTGAAGAAAAGAAATTGAATTGATCCAACTTGTTATAAAGTTCAAGGTATAGAAAATGGCATAGGGTTGTGAACCCTTTTTTGGGCAACAAATGATTAAACGAAAACCTAGCTGTGAGAGTACCTGATAACTGAAAGCTTACTGTTCATCAAATGAATGTACATATGCAACAGTTACTACAGAAAATGTTTTGACATTTCCTTAAAGTTGCACTGCAGATAGAACTTTGTTTAGTTAATTTCAAGTTAACTATTTATAAGATGCCTTAAAACCCCAAAGGTTGCACCTTAGCACTGGTTTGGGGTACACGGTCCCCATTTTTCCCTCATGCAAGGGTTTTTAGGGGTTTACGTGTCCAGCTTTGGTGCACTAGGTTAGTTTTAGAGCAATTTAAGAGCATGTATACACATATCTAGAAAAACAATGAAACTGCAATTCAGCCATAATAATAGCTACTGTGATGTTTTAATGACAAGTAAGGCTCATATAAAAACTACATACCTGGAGTCATCAGTTTTTTTGCTTTTTTGTTTTTTTTTACCCAGAGATTGGCTGTTGGTCTTATTTCCAGGACACTACCCTTGTCACATTTTTTAGACTCTAGGCCAGGCATCAAATGAAAATTATCTTTTCTATGAAAGCTACTGTTGATTTGAAATCAATAATTGCATCAAAGCTATTTATTTCGAAAACAGTCACTTAAGTTTGAACATTTGAGAAATAAAAGCATCAAAGCTATTTATTTCAAGAATAATCACTTGAGTTTGACCATTTCAGAAATAATAGTATCAAAGCTAATTATTTCAAAAATAGTTTCTTGAGTACAACCATTTTAGAAATAAAAGCTTTGGATATGAGTTTATTAAATAGCTTAATAAGCTCAAAATTTAAAAAGTTATTTTGGGACAAAATAGCTAAAAAATTTATAGAGGTATTTCATTTAATGCTCTTACCTACATCTTCTGAATGTGATTGGATTAGTGTTCTGAAGAGAAAAATTAACTTAAATGGTTAGTTACGGTCTGCTTGTATACATAGGGTTTTTAAGTTTGCACTATAACACTACATGTATGTTTGTTTAATCTGAGCCTTTGAAATCAGTCAGACTTAACTTTTGTATCATTTTTTATTCCTAAGGAGAAATTGACACTCTAAATAAGAATACTTCCATACCAAAAATTTGGAACTTGGACACATCATAGACTCCCCTTAAATAAAAATTCATAATTAACACTAACCCTTAACCTTAATAAGCAACTAATACTCATTCAGTTAATTAACTGAGGGGGAGTTTAGATGTTTCGGTTCTGATTGCATCTTAATATACAAAATGAAAAATGGTTCAATTGATTTACTCTTAAAATCAAGTCTGATGGTATAGTGTTCCATCCACATATCTTGTAGTTATATTGTATTTCAGCTACGAGCTGATCAGTTCAAATAAAGAAATGATAAGTAATAGGTTTAAGTTGAAAGTGTAAGAATACAGCGTAACCACGAGCCAATCAATAGTAGTCTGGTGTCAATCAAACCAACCATCAACTCTGCATTAAACATATAGTTTTGAAGCATTCTGAGATGTCTATACATTTAATAATAATAATATCTGATGCAAGTTTCACATCTCCATCCCAGTTTTAGACCTGGTCACAGAAAATAGTGGGGTTTTTTTTCGAGGAACATGTCCCTGTAACTTCAAAAAGTTGTAGGGACATGACATCCTGCTACTCAGTGCGTCGGCCTTACCTGTTTTACGGATCCCTCAGCCTGTCCCTGACCATGACTGCGATTCAGCAATATAAGTTCACCTTTTTAAATAACTCTTGAACTATCACGATCGAAAAGAAACTACAATAAGAGAGAATAAACGCGATTTGCACCAGTGTACAAGACTCCGCGGTATATAGAAGACTAGACACGTTTACCGCCATTTTAAAACGGCGCGCTGCAGCCGCGCAATCCCAGAAGTACATGCGGACTTTCATTCGTATTTTTACGTTATTATTATTTCTATATAATTTCTTTTTTCTTTTCTTTGTTTGTTTTTAGCCTGTATGGCAGGTGTTTTTGTGAGTGCTACTTGGTTTTTGTGTGCTTCAAGTGAGTAACGAAACCGCGACTGGGAAAAACCTGCTCAGCCCCGTGGTTTTCTGTAAGCCCTACAGTTTTGTGTGCGCTAAGAGAGGGTAAAAGCCGAGTTTATATTAGACTGCGAACCGCACTTCCTTTTTCAGCTAAGTACGTTGCGCGAGTGAAAAAAACTAAGAAAAAAAAATGTAAGTGCACCGCGCGTAACTCTGGTAGTGGGCACCGAAAAAGGGAGTACAGAAAAATTTGACCTCGCACAACTGAGAGAATTTTATGCGTCAAATCCTAATTTTGAGGGCACGGAGACCTCAATCGAAATAGAGTGCCGAGGAAGAACTTGACTCTTCGCGCCTCAATATCAGAGTTCCGCGAGGTGCGCTATTAATTTCTAACCTCCATTTTTCTTTGGGTGATTTGTCTGACTCGCGCAACTGCCTTCCCCGAGAAGTTTAAACTACTTTCCGTCTCAAGCCTTTCGCAACTTCGCCGCTTATTGCTGGAGCGCACACAAAACTGCAAACTACGCAATATATAATTATCATTTTGTGCACTTCTGTCTGCCCTTCCCCAGGAGCCTACTTGGCAACTTCATGTGGCTGGTGTACGTTGCCTGTAATGCCAGCTAATTTGCACGGGGTTCCTGTGGGTATCACACCATGAGGACAGTTGGTAACTTGCAGGATCCGATAAGTACTAACCCTTCCCTCTCCCCTAACTTCTCTGACACCCTACTTCTACTTTTTAAAAGTTCCTGGTGAGCCTCTTCCTCCCTGCTCTTTCAGAACAAAGACCCTCCTTTTGATTTATTATTCATTATTCATGAAATAAAAATTGTTCGTGCGCACATTTCAGGGAATAATTTCTATTTCCCACTCCACCCTTTCTCCATTAGTTAGTTTCTGTAGCATCATTTGTATTGGAATGAATAGGGGTTTGGTCGATTTCACACCGACTAATGATAGGCTCTTACCGATAGTGCTCGTAAAAAAGCATTAAATGCTTAGAGCAGTGCTTGTTTTTTGCCAAAAAAGTGCTAAAATAATGCTAATTTTTTTTAAAAGTACTCGTGGGTTACATAAAAATGCTCACTTTTTTCCGATTTTTTTAAACAAAAAATATTCTCATAGTCTTATTTTTTCCACCGATTGATGGCAGAGCACGTTCTCGAGCTATCTCTGCCTTGGCTGGCTGACTTCCATTGTTCCTCGATGACAACGTGAATGACGCCATCTTGGAACGAGTGTGATGGACTGGGTTTCCAGAAGGCAACCGCTGACCTATCAAACCTATCCCCAGGCCTCCTCGGCTCCTTTGACTAATGCGGCTTTGAACGACATTAATAAAGGCAGATTGTGCTTTTTAACACAAAATTATACAAATAATCAGTCGAAAATCCAAAATAATGCTAGCAGTGTTTTTTGGGATAAAATGTAAAAAAAAAAATGCTCGCGAAGCCAAATAATGCCAAAAAGAGTGCTAGTACTATCGGTAAGAGCCTAACTAATGATGCTAGACATCATAGATACACAAGTGAATAGCTAGAGCTAGTTTATTCAATCGTTTTTTGGCGTTTATTACTGATTCTTGTAAAGGAATATTCAAATAAAGTTCTGCGATATGGCATGAACGATGAATGACAAACAAATTTTGGTAACGTCACTGAGGTTTTCTAAATAAGTAAATTATCCTTGAGTTGGTTGCAGTTATTGTTCAAGACTTGTTCCCAGGGCCTTATCGAAACCATCAAGATGTTTGATTTTAAATTGAGGCTGATTTCGATTTCCGGAAAAGTTCAAAGTGCAGTTCTTCTTTACCCGGATATTGCATGGTGATCAAAATGCATTATGACTTCGAAAGAAAATGAATTAAGTTCCGCGATTAGGTAACGAGTTTGAAGATTTGGGGGAGAACTGGTAAGGCGAGGGAACGGGCGAATTCGCGAAAGAGATTGGAGCGAACCTCTATAAACTGATCCTTGCCTGGGTGGGTGTTTTTTTTTCCTTTCTGGTTCTTTGCTTGTATTTATTAATTTTTTTTCAAGAATTTTGTATCAATGCCCTTTAATTTCAGTCTTAACCATTTTTTCCTTCTCTAGTGTTGTATTATCGGGCTGTTACGCATGAATCCTAAGCCCCGTTTAGAGTTTGTTGAAAGGGTCAAGTTTGACGTCATCCAAAGTTGTTTTACACACGTGTGTTATTGTACTTTCTTTTCGCCAATCAGACGTTAGCGTTCTCTGTCTACCAGATGGCTGTATTCATTACTGCCTATCGGTAGACAACAGAAACTTTGTTTTTGCTATTTGTAAAACTGAAACCTTTAGCCTTTGTTTAACACAAAACAAGCACAGGTGCTGAGCATAGAGGTCTCAAATTCAAAGTACTCCGTTATCATTTGTGTACTTTCTAATACATCTATTGATGTCCCCATATTTGGTTTAAGTTGGTTTATCTATCATTCGTCTGCGAATGTCGAGGGAAAGATCGTTTATTTTCTTGAATCAGTCTGGTGTGTTTTGAGCTCTTGACAGGAAATCGGAGAACGCCATGAAAGCCAATTTTAAACACGTGAAAGCACTTCAAATGAGGAACAACCAATCAGAACTGTTGGCATTGTGCCTGTTGACAAGTAAGTAGCCAATGCGAAGCGCTCTTTGCGTTTCCGCGCTTTGGAGTTTATTTTGTACCTAAGTCTTTTTTTAGTGCGGCATCTTTCATTTCTGTCTCTTTCTTCTGTCGCTTTTGTCCGTTGCTATAGTTGTGCCTTTATTCTTTCTTTCTACAACTTCTCGACGGTTCATTTCCACTAGATGGCCGAAGAAGCACCCGCACTCAAGAAGGACTCAACCATGGTTGTGACTGCTAAGGTGAGGAGAAAGATCGAAAGCGCGCGAACACCTCTGAGAATCTTGACCGTATGGTTTTCCGGAATAAGATGAATTATGATTTCTGTTTCTTACTTTAGGAGGGAGAAGAGTTTCTAGAAGAGCATGGAAAGGTTCACGAAGATGCAAAAACAAGAGCACAGCAAAAAGAACTTGAAGAAAACGAAGAGGACGCTGCTAGCAAACTGAAACGAACTTCGACTATGGCTGCGACCGCACAGGTGAGATCATGAAGTTCGATAGTTGGTTGGTTTCGCTTCCTTTCCACTAATTTAAAACTCACAAGTCGAAACGGCCTGTTTTTGAGAATATGTTTTACACTTTTAGGAGGGAAGCGATCTCCTTGGAGATGAAGAACGCGGTAAAACGCGATCAGAGACTGCGGCTATGAAAGAAACTGATGAGGAGGGCGATCAAGAGGAAAGCGGCGAAGACGACGACGAGGAAGATGAAGAAGAAGCAAACGGAAACTGCGAAGAGAATGCTGGAGATAAACCAGCTGTCAAACGCGATGGGACGATGGTTGTTACCGCAGCGGTGAGATCAGTAAGAGTTTCCGCTAAATTTGTACTGAACTTTGCTTATCGACGGTACATTTTTCCTTTTTAGGAAGGTGAGAAGTTTTTAGAAAACGAGGGCCATACGGTTGACGGTGGAACACGTGGGGAAACCGAAGCGGTGAAAGCTGCCATAGAAGAAAGCGAAGCTGATAAACAGAATGGCGAAAAGGAAGAGGACAAACAAGACCTGAAACGGAAAGGAACTATGCAAGAAACTGTCGAGGTAAGAAAAAAATCGGTTTTTTTTTTGTTTACGGACTCCTAAGTCGATTTTCTGGTACCGCTGCTTTATGCTCAAAAGATTGTTCAGACAAAATTCCGTGTAAAGTGTTGTTTGTCATTGTCACATGGAAATTTAAATTATGATAATGATTTCCGCTCGCTGAGAAAATCGGGCTCTATACGCGAAAACGCTGCACGTAATGTTTACGAGTTGTGTATTTCACTATTTTCCACGCCTCGATTGGTTTCTGTTAGTAGCGAAAATGACATTGTCCGGTCAGAATATTGCACTTTATGACTCTGTCACGCCATTTTGGCATGTGATGCACGCTTCGCTGCGATTCTATTTCTTTAAATGGGAAGTCTATTGTTTTTACGTCACTACTGTTCTAGTTCAACAGACAAATAGCTTTTGAATTTCTACAAGGTCGCCACGCTTTAGTTAGAAACTTGACACTAAATTCTGTTCCGCGCGAGTGATAGGAAAAAATACTTCAGGAGATCGCGTGTTTGCCAAAAGGGTTAATAACGAACTTTCAAAGGGTGAACTTATAGAACTTTATTTTATTAGAACGGGAATGTTCGTTTTTAAGAGTCATCTGTCAAGTTTGTGGGCTTTATTTGAGACGCTTAAACATTAACGTGACGTTTCGTGACAATATTTTGCTCTTAACAAGAAAGAGTGACAGCGAGTTGATTTCCTTTATTTTTTAATATAATTAATCATATCTTACCACAGTCATAAATTTTGCTTAGATCACCTCAGTTACATAGCTATATCATTGTTTTCAGCAAAAAAAATCCCTTAGTAATGATAAATGTTTTCTTTTTCAATTGGCAAATCTGCTTTTAGAGGATTATTTTAACATATTTGAAGGTCACTTAGTACATAAATAACAAATAAAAAAGCTGTTTGTCTCCTTGTTTTTTTAAAAGTCTGGTTATTTGATACATTCATTAAATAACCAGACTTTCCCAAAAACTATTGGAAATACAGCTGTCTAAATTGTTAATTTACATGCAACAGCCAGGTTAAGAATCAGGGAGATTTATTTTAGGTCCTGTAAATTTTTTCACCTTAACTCACAATCTCCATTCAACTTAAGTCATGATTTAAGTCATAAATCCAAAATTTAAAAAACGATGAAAGCTTCAAAAAATATTTTTTTACTATATCTAAGATGATTACACTGAAAACCCTTCCCAAATTTCCTTCTTTTCTATATGGGTGAGCTAGCGAAGTTTTAAAGACAATTCCAATATCAGAGAAATTTTCTCCTAACCCTTCAACCTACAAAAGTTATTGACAAGTAACTGCTTGGCACAATTTAAACACATCATAAGGCAAATATGTGACAAAATTAAATTTTTTGAGCTGTAGAATGTATTCCTGATATAACATCAAACCACTTAAATCATGAACAAGACAATGTATAGCAGCTATGAGAGAGAATTCAAAATTAGATCACAGAGGTAAAAGATTTAACAAAAGAAATCAAGTCTGATATTTTGAAGGGCACTTAACTCAACTTTTTTCAGTCACCATTTGGAAATATACAATTGCTAATTCTCTAAACATAAATAATAATTGTTGCAAGGAGGAAAACAAATCAAAGAAGTACACTTTGTGCCATAAAGACTGGAGTGCTATGTTTTTTTGAATTTTCTGTTGCTGACTTTGTCTGACTTGTGCTTTGCTTGTTCTTTAGGAGGGTGAAGAATTTTTGAAAAGGCAGAAAACTTCTAATGGAGATCATCAAGACGAAGTCACAGCTTGATCCTCACTGTACTTTAGATGTCACAACTTTTATGACTGCAGGACAATTGGACACATCTTGTACAGTATATATATACATATATATATATATCAGTGAATCACATGTAACATTTTGAAGCACGGGCACATACAGCTTCTATTAAGCATAATAGTTATAGCTCATTTTATGGTTTTTCTGAAATGGGTTTGTCATTTTCTACCCAAATTGAATAGACAGCTTTGAACTAGTTTTATGCTCACAAGTCATTAATACTTTTCCCCTTCCTTAACCCTTTAACTCCCAAGATCTGATTGTTAATTCTCATCTCTAGCTTCTATTTTCTGTACGGGAGACCTTTGATTTTTGCCAAATGGGGTGTTAAAAGGCTTGATTCAAGTAATTTCTTTGCTGGATCAATCCTAGAATTCTTGTTATGATTTTTAAATAGTATGAAAAATACTGGTTTTAAGACACTTCCTTGTTGAAATTTTCCTTCAAGAAATGAAGAAAAATTCAGCGTGTAATAAAGTTAATTTTCACTTCCAAACTCTCCCCTCCCAACTCTTTGGTAGGAGTCTCCATTCAGAATTTGTGGGGTTTATTTTCTTAGAGGCTTTTCCACCCTTGTGTATGGTAAATCTAAGCTTCTTTATATTGTAAACATTTAAGCTTTTATACTTTTAAAAAGTTACAGACATCATCAAACAAACAGCAGAAAAAGGCGCTCATTAAAATGCTCTTTTTAGATAACTTGTTTTTGTTTGAATGGCTTGTCAGGCTGGGGATTAGGATGAGAATCTCTCTCTTCCTATTCTGTACTCTTCTGTTGCCTTTGGCTTTGATACCTGTTTCCCCCCAAGTATTTAGAGACACTGCAGACCATTGATTGAGAAATGTTTGCATTTCTCCTTTTCTTTTTTCCCTTTTCTCCCTGCCCACTGAACCTTGCCTGAGCTCCCATCCCAGTCCACTCATGTCCTCCTTTCTGTTAAGAAGCAATTTGTGCCTTGAGTCTAGCCACTATTTTGAGTACCATGGACTCTTAACAGAAGATACAGTGACCTAGCTATTTTATTACCATACTGGGTCTTACATCAAACAAACTGAGAGCAAGCTCTGGTGAAGTCAATGAATTGTGTTCTTGGGAACAACACCTCTCTCAAGGAGCCTCTCCACCAAGTAGTTTTAAAACCCTTGATCCCTGGATGTGTTTACTAACTTATTTCCCCTACAGTATTACGCCTGAATCAAACATTAAGATTATGAGAAGAAAGAAAATTAGCATCAATTGAAGGTTTTGATTTTTAGACAAACTCTCCCAATAAGAACCAGGAAATGTATACAAAACGGAAAGGAAAATAATTATACATACCGATGTTAATAGGTGTCAGTAGACTGTCTAGAAAACCTGAAAAAATTCCAAGAGGTAACCTGTATATGGACTATTGTTCCAGCCAGGGATAAGTACCAATGCTATTGCTGCTCCATGCTACCAAACATAGGATGTGTTGCAACAGCTTTGCAAGTCGGTCTTGTGGGCAGACTCGACCTTAACTTCAACTTGATGTCCTCCCGTGAGACCTAAAGTTTTGATTATGACCTCTAAAGGTAAAAGGCACACAAGCATCTTCACCGAGTGAGTGTCCACTTCATACAACATATTTACATCAAACAAAAGTTTAGAAAAGAAAGAAGGTGCATCAAAAGAAATTATTTTTGTACGGTGCAAATAACAATCCCCTTCATGGACCCGTTCCCATCTCACGCTTCAGCACACCTAGTGATAATTAACGTTTGGTCTAGGCCCAGTCTCTTTTGTAATGCTGATTTGAAAGCTAAACTTTCCCCAAGAAGGGGCTTCTATGGAGGAGAACGGCAGTCATTTTGAGCCGAATTTAATCAAGATCTTGTTGTGAAGGTAAAATCTATGCATCCTTGTTGAATTTTAAATGTGACTGAAAATAATTGCTCCATATTATCATAGTTACGCAGGGTTGGATCTACCGTCTTCGCTTCATAATGGCGGGCTTTCCAATCCGGCTGGTCTTTGATTTAATTTTTGTTTCAGGAAGAAGCTAAACAAATATTTGATTAATTTTATTAGTTTGAATTTAAAAAATTATCCCCGGAATAGAAAATGTAGTCGCAAGTCGTTAGGTTCCTTTGCATGCATGACTCACAATAAGTTAAGACAATCGCGTGGGTAACCTTGATAGACGTCTCTTTTGAGGTTGCGTGTAACATTCCTTCGTTGCACAAGGAACGTAACCGAAACTTGTGTTACGGTGTATGTATTATCTCTGTGATCTCACCTACTACGAGTTACCTTTGCAAAATCACCATGACCAATATCACCGATAAGTCAAGTTGAAAACAAAGTTGACGTTTTCGTGAATAATTATTGAAATTGTCGCAACAGGAAGTTGGACCGGGAAAATCCATAGCGAGAGGGACTGCAATCTCTTTAAAAAAAACCCGTTGATTCATCCAGATTCTAAGATGGCGATTCACAGCTTTCAACATGAGGCAAAAAAAGGGTTATTACTAAATGAGGTTTTGTCTAACTGGGAAACGACTGATCATCATTTGGAGCGATTAGCAGTACACCCACTGTCTTAGTGCTGCAAAAAGCAAGGAGAGACTAACCAGTAGGTACAATAAATCATTTAGATCATAAACAAGACTGGACAATATTGAACAATGCTGTTCCTTGATTTTATTTTGAAAGGTTTTCTAGATGCACTGATGATGGATTACACATAGACCATACCTTTTGAATATGGCCAGTAATACCAAAGGTGATTCCAGGAGTGATAGGGATTCAATTGCTTATGATGATGTGGTGTCTTCAGGAGATTTAAGCAATGAAGAAGCTGCTCCAGCAGAAAATGTACAAAAGAGGGGTGATGCTTCACCTTTTGAAGGCAAGGGCACTATGCAAACCCAAAACAAAGATTTGAGAGGACAAAATAAAACTGAAAATTTAAAGACAGCTGATGGAGGAAAAGATGCAGATAATGAAAATGACTCTAGTAAGGTGTTATCTAAACCTAATGATATTGAGTCCAATGATCAAGGTTCACGAAATGATAGACTGAAAAATTGCAAGGAAAATGGCAAGGAACAGTGGACACCAGTGAAAGCAGATTTAAATAAGAATAAAGATGGCAAGGGATTCATCGCTGGAGCAAAAACTGAAAATGATTCTAGTCCTCAGGTACCCTCAAGACGTCAACCTCAAAAGAGGGCTAGTAATGACATGGAACAAAAAACTTCACTCAGTCACAGTCCTGAAGGTGACCCTGTCAAGCCACCTAGAAGGCGTTTGCCACAAGTACCAAACTCTGCTGAACCAAAGGCTGATCAGAAGAGTTCATCAGATGAAGGTGATGTGCTTTCTGTGACCAGTAATGACTCGGGTGAACAAAAACTTGAGGAAATTATTTGCAAGCCAGTGCTAACATCAAGTCCAAACCAAGATGAGCTACCTAGCTTGACTGTAGAAAATAATGTGATGGACACGAGCCGCAAAGTCCTTTCATTCATGGATGTGTCCTCTGAAGGTGGTGTTAGAAAAGTGGAATCATTTTATGACTTTCTTTACTCTCAAGAGGGTGCTGATGTTTCTAAAGAAAGATCAACATCTCCTATTTTAGTGCAAAGGCGGGACACAATTGGTAGTGCACTGTCTGGTTCACAGGAACATCTATATGATGATGTTCCAAGAGATAGCAGTGTTGCCCAGAGCTGGAAAAGTAATGGAACATATGATGAGGTCATAGTCAACAGAGGTATGTCTTGTTCTGGAGTATTTAGTGTTCTGGACTTACATCTAGAGGCCCCAAATTTGAGTGTCATGCTAATGACATCCTAAATTTGATTTTTGGTAGAACTTTATAAGTTTGAATCTTCAACCACATCATTGAAGATGGTCTAAGGCTTAAAACATCAAATTTTATAACTAGAAACTCTTTGTGGTGGCCAACACTGTTGACAGTCAAAAACTGTTCACCAAAGTGGAGGTGGCTAGTGATGAATATTTACCTATTCATGTTAGCTAATGACACTGAGTTGACTGATTGTTCTAGAATATAGTAAACAGTGAGAATAATACAGCTCAAGAAGATGGTTTTTAACTCATTTATTCTAGCAACGATTACAATATTTTCGGGTGCAAATCCAGAGCATGTTGCTCTGAGGTGAACAGCAAAGGATATTCAATATTTGAGTAGCCAATCAGAGTGCATCTTCAATGCCATCCACTGTTTTAGTATTTAAAACCAAATTATCATACAGTATTAAATAATAAGCTGGTTTGCTTTCTGACTGGTGGGGTTTTTAATCAAGTCTTACTGTATATGGTGTATATTCTTTGTTGTTATTTGATTGGAATGTCCTTGAAATAACAGCATAAATTAAACTTTTGTGCTTTTGACATAAATATTTATTTGGTTCAAATCATATACTATATCATCTCTTTTCCTTGAACCACAGAGGCATATGTCATGCCTTCACATGATGATGAAAGTGATGACTACTCTGAAAACGACCCATGGGGTTCAGACTTTGAAACTGAAGATGACATCACATATGGAGGCAGTATAAGAACACAAGATGGTTTTATCGATGAGGAAGAGGAAGAGGATCCATATGATACGGTGGAAATAAGTCCCATGAGGGAACGGAAGAGACCGGTAACTTGCTTTGATTTTTAGTTCTGATTTATGTTCTAAAGCAAAGTCCTCTTTTCACATTCTATCTACTTAGTAGAATGAGCATTCTAAAGAAAAGTTCTCTTTTCAAATTCTATCCCTGATGTTTGTCTACTGAATTCACTCATCATTTGATGACCTAGCTATTACATGAACGGGCTACCATAAACTAGAGATAGAATGTCTCCAACACCTCCTTAGTAGAATGAGCAAAGAAGGATATATCATAAGTAAACCGAGAGAATATGCTTATGCTTTCCCCATTCTCAAAAATGTTCTAATTTTTGTAATGTTTTTGTCCCATGCATTGTTTTCATTTCCTAAATAATACCTTGCTCATGGTCCCTCGTGTAAAGAAACTGAAGTTTGTATAAGGACAGTTGAAATTTCATTTGTATGTCATGTTGTACATCCCACAAGTATTTTGGGAATCCAATGTGATTTTTTTCTCTTTATTCAGTTTCAATTTGTATCAGAAATTGCAAACTTCTCGCCATTTTCCACTGGGAAGAAGTCATCACTGACCAGTCCAGGACTGAAGGCCCAATTTAAGGGTTGCCTTGGACTGAATAGAGTGCCAAGTATACCATACTTGGCCAGTAACTCACAAAAAGGTGCAATGTGTTTGTATTTTATTGATGCACAATGATAGTTTTAATATTGAAAATAACCTTGTCAGATCTGTGATAATTTGATATTTTTTACATTAACAATGATAATAGGACAGAGTAAAGTCTGTTATCACAGAATTGGACAACATGAACTCCTGTTACAATTAATCAAAACTATTTCAAAATTTGAGAAAGGAACTAGACATTGGTTATATGTTTTCATAACAAAAAAACGATAGTTCACTTGGCAAAATGTGTGACAACAGCGCATGCACATGAGTTGTTCTGTACTCAGGTAGGATGTGTTAACTGTTCCTTTAGCTATCTCGTTACACTTTCCAATAAGTGCTCAAATCAGGCTGGTGACAACCAATCACATTTGAGGATTTTGTTATAAATGATAGTTTTGATTAATTTTAGTTAGGCACTTCTCATATCAACAAATCTATTCTTTATTTCATTTTCACTTCTAAAATGGAAACATTAGAAAAAACTAACAAAATTCCAGAGTTTTTTTTCAATTCTTCATTCTAATTTGCATATTTACATTTTTACTTTTACATTATTTCAGTATTGGTTTCTATGAAGTTTCCAATTTTTTTAAATTTTCAGTGTGGAGTGTACCCATGGACATAAACTTATCTGGATAAATGAGACTGTTTCAAACTCTGTTACTGGCCCTTTCACAGACCTGCAAACTGTGGGATGCAAAGCCAAAACATTCCCTTTTCATTTTGTTCATGCTTGGGTCAATCATTACAATAATAATAATTATTATTGTGAAAGCTTTCTAAACTAGAACCAAATAACAACATAGATTGATATCCTCTGATTGAAACTCAGGAAATTGTCCTTTGATGCTTTTCCCAGATACGCATTATAGAATTCACATCAAGACAGTGCAAGAACATTAATTGACTTTATTCAACATTGCTGCAAATTGAACCACTTTCACTACTAACAATATCCCCTGCAATTGCTACAAGTAAGTTTTGTTTTACTTGTATAGAAAACGAAGAAGCAAATGCAGTTTATGTTGACCCAGATATCACAGACTCTGTAAACTATCAGCAGCCTGTCATGCCACCCATGCCAGAAGGGTTATCCAATGAGCAGGTATACAAAGAAATTTACTTTCTTGAAATCACACAATGTATGTACAGTGCAGTTGGTGTTTTAGTGCAGTTAAATGCAATCAAACAGAGTAAACAACAAAGAGCATCAGCATATTTTTTTTTTTGGATATGCATTTCACACATCATTAAGTTAAATGGGAAAACTTCAAATCCCACGTAACCTCTATTTTTTGTTAGATCAATGCGTCATGCATTAATTTGGAGCTTGATCACAAGTCATGTTCAAACCCTGAGCCATTCTCCTTTATGTGAGGTATGTTCTGTAGCTTCCCTTTTGTTCTCCAGGTCAAAAGATACCAAATTGTGAAGTTCATGCTGGAGAGTGAAGCAGATTATATGAGACTTCTGGATCAACTTAGCAAGGTAAGTGAGTTAATACATTGCTGTTTGAAGTGCTTATAACAACCATTTTCCACGTGATGTTGGACATTGCTTATTCTCTGCTTGAAGTTCATATTATTCCCTGAGCTCTTTGAAGGAGACTGTGCTCTATTATATGGGATAAATAACTAAGAGTAGAGTCCTAAGCAGGTAATGCATATCTCATTTCCTAAATTTCTTTCCCTCCAGTGTGCTTTGTGCACTGGTTATTATTGTTATTATCTGGGAACTTGATGCTTTTTCTCACAAACCAAAAAAACCAGGGAAGAATACAACAATGATGGTAGCTTTAGCCACTATTTTCATGGCAAAAATAGAAAAAGGATGTTATCGCCCAGAGCATGACTAACCTCTCCTTGAGAAGAAGTACATCATTGATGTTTTCTGTCTGTGGAACAGAAGCAACAGCAAAATAGAATAATTTTAGGATGCGAAACAATGACTGTACATTGTACCATGGTACAATCACTATTTGCTGCTAAAATATCAGACTCAGAAATTACATTCTCAGACACAATAGTGTACAAAATGGGAGGGGTTTAGCAGGGAATTGACCCTTGACAAACAAATCTATTACAAAGAGATAAAGCCCTTCGAATACTTGAAATTTTATTTGTGTCATTTACCAGGCCCAAAGAAAGGATTTGTAAGAGGAGAAGTGCTACACCTGCCATGAATAAATTCACCATGCTCCACATTTGATTAGAACATAGTACAGTGTTTCAAAATAGTCTTAAGAACAGAGGATACCAAGATGAAATTTTGGAGAAATGTATCTCTGAATTTGATTTCATTGGGAGAGAATGGTCACTCAAACACTTGCATGGGATAAAGTTGCAATTGATTGTAAATGTTTTCCCATCTGACAGTCACCCAATTATCAAGAGGAACTTTCTGTTCGACTTTGCTCCAAAATGCTGTCTAGCAGGGCCTCTGCAAACTCACTGTTCATATTCTTGCCAAATCCTAAAGCTGTATTTCTCTCATTTCATGCTTTCAAAATTAATATAGAGGCTTTCTGCTTGTGCACGATTACCTCTTGATGGCTTCATTATTGTGAACACAGACTGAAATGACAAATCTATATAGCAAATAGATGATAGATGCTAGATGAGGGTATAAAGAGCTGGTTCTTGATCAAGATTGCAAAGATTTAGTCTAATAATATTGCACACAATATAAGCTTTGGTTTTTTGTTATACAGATCAAGATTGCAAAGGTTTTGTCTAATAATATTGCACACAGTATAAGCTTCAGTTTTTTGTTATACAGAAAATCTTGAGAATGTCCACTACCCCCACAATGCATCCTGGTTGAGCATGGTCCTTTAAAGTCTTTTCTCTCTCCCTTTCTATTTGCTTGAATAAAAGGTTTTGTGTGTGTGGATGGGTGTCATATAATTAGCCCTTTCCACTCTAACATCAGTATGTATATTCTCCATACTGTTATCTATACATTTCCTAAGGTGCTGAAAAGGAGAATCTGTTTAACAATCAAGAGCCTCTTTAGTTAGTGATCATTTCCTTTATTCTCATGATCTTGAATGAACAATTCAGCAGTATTATTGTAAGGAGAAACCAGATGCTGGTCACTCTTAGGCTTTAAAGGGCCGATAATAGATTCCATGTTGCCGTGTGTCTGATCAGTAATAGATCGCAGACAGCACCAAATGTGGTAAGAACAAAAAAATGGCACACTCATTATATAGTAGAGAAGCAGAACATTGTTAACCCCTTAACTCCCAGCAGTGATTAGCATGTAACTTCTCCCTTTAATATCCATACATTACCCAGCAAACAGGTGATGAGAATACTCAAACTTATCAGGTGGAAGTTGTTATCTTGATCTAGAACCAAGTTCTTGTAACTAACTTGCAAGGAAATGTGTAGTGACTGGAGGGGAGAATTAACAATCATATCCTGGGTGTTCATCTGTCCTCCAATAGATCATATGTAAGAATTAATCAAAATGTGTGGGTAATTCCATTTATTACATTAGAGAAGTTTGTGATACCAACACTCTTCCATCTGTTAAGCATTTACTTCAAGAAAAGTTTGACTTAACTCCTGTGGGAAAATAATTATTTGATTTATTTGCATATTTTTGCATCTTTGACAGCAATACGAGCTACCCATCAGAGAGCGTGATCTTCTCGAGCCAAACAAGATTGACATCATTTTCCAACATGTACATAGAGTATTGCAGTGTCATGCCATGTTTAATATTGCACTGAGTGCAAGGATGTCAGACTGGACACCAGATATGAAAGTTGGCGACATCCTGTATGCTCTGGTGAGATTAAATTACCTTCTCTAATTTTTTTGGTAATTAGTATTATTTCTTATTACTAATCATCATGTTGAATTTAATTGTGACAAGTATTAGCAAACCATCATTAGTCTTTGGGTAACATTTTTTTCACAGCTTACAGCTAATAGAATCAAGGCTTCCTGCTCATAGAGATTCCACAGATTGACTGAAAAATATTTCTTTAAATAGTCAAGCAAACTGTCCAGGAGAATTATTAAAAAATATCTTGAAATGTGTGGATGGTGGAAGGGAGAGTGAAAGTCAAATACTAAGAGTTAAACCCTTTACACCCTAACATCAGTATGCATATTCTCCATACTGTTCTCTATACATTTCCAAATAGGCTGACAGGGAGAATTTCTTTAACAATCAAGAGTTGCTTTAGTTGGTGATCATCTCTTCTATTCTTGTGACTTTCAAGTATGAGTTAGGGGTGATGTAGTAAGAAGAAATTAGATGCTAGTCAGTCTTAGGGGCTCAAGGGTGAAAAGGGATCAAGTCTAAAAAGATAGGGTTAAAAATCCTCCTTTTTATATTTTTATTTTACTGACTTCACTTGGTTTTATTTTTAACAGTTTTGCAAATCCATGGTCCTGGATGCTTACAGCGGATATGTGAACAATTTTGCCAAAGCTATGGATACAGTGAAAGTAGCTTGTAGAACTCATCTGGCATTTGCACAGTTTTTAAAGGTTGGTAATTGGCAATTTGATAAAGATATATTTAAGCAAATAGATCATTACCTTTCATTCTACAAATGTTTGTATCAAGTACTCCTGTAATAATGTTATACTACATACAGCTGTCTGAATTTTTCCATGTTACAATTTTGGAACTGACCATTGAATTTGTCAATTTGTAAATTGTTATAAAATGGACCAATAAAAATTGATTTTTTTGTATATGTCAGTCACGCAGACAGTCAAGCCTTGACCACCTCTCCCTTCATAATTTGATGTTGAGACCAATTTATAGATTTCCACAAATTTTGGCCCTTCTACAGGTTAGTAATGAACTGCTGTACCTTGCTGTTAATAAAATGTTTAGTATAACTGTACTTTAAAACTCTCTTAGTGGTTATATGCACATCTATAGAGAAACAACAAACATATTCCAGCTGGAGGGGTGAGCTTTCAGGAATGCATTGTTTTAAACACAATTCAGCTACATCAGGGTTGATGATAATTTTCTTTTAATTTATAGCCTATATTTTATTACTGTCAGTTTTGCCTTACACTGAAGGAAAATCCCACAAAATGCCATCTGCAACATTTGGCCAATAGATACAAAAACTATAAATTGTTTAGCATTTAATCAAATATAATGATGCTCACTGTAAACAACATTTCAAATAAATTGGCTCTTGATTACTCCACTTTCCAGAGACACAAGGTTGCATTCTACAACTTCCCCCTGGATAGGGTGCTAAGAATTTGCAGGTTCCCCCAAAAATTCTGCTCCTCTGGACATTTGGTGATTTTCATTTATCTCTCTCACTTACTTGCAAGGCCAAGAAGAATTTCTCTTCACAATGTTTTTCACTTTAAAGAAGAAAAGTAATGAGCAGAGAGAATTAATAGATTTTATGTATTTTAATGCTGAACTCTCCTAGCTGAAATTACATGAAACATATGGTAGGTAGTAAAGCTTGTTTTGAAATATCACAATGCAAAGAAGTTTTGCTCGGACTCAATTGAGGTCTTTCAGAGTGGAGGCCAGGGCTGGGTTTCAAATATGTCTAAGTTAAGAAATCCTTGGTAGTATTCATTTTATAGCTGTGCAGAAGATTTTTCCTCAAACTTTACTATAATTGTACACCTCTGAGGCAGAGATATTGAAACCAAGTTTAACTTTTTATTCTGGAATAGTAGTAAACATCTTTGGAACAACCTGGTCTCCACTCTTTATACTCAAGCTCATTTCGAAATAGTCTTTATTCAAATCACTTTTACTGTATTCATAGGAGTTGCTGGTTGTGACTCCCAGGGACCATCCAGATCGTGTTCCCCTTCAGCTTGCTCTTACTCAGTTAGAGTGTCTGGCAGAAAGTCTCAGGGAAAGGAAGAGAGAGGCTGAGCTAAGAAATAAAGTGAAACTGTTGGATGGGTTGGTGGCACAAAGCCACAAGGTCAGTTGAAATAGAAGTTCTGGATCAAAGTTAGTATCTGAGCAACTGTGCACCTATCCGTCTCCTAACCCAACATTAACCCTAACTTGTTATCAGTTGATTGTTGTTGTGGGAGGGGTTAGGTGGGAAGTTGCTCAGATATTAACATTCTTCCAAACTTGGAACCTCTTTGAGGGAAGCAGGTTGGTTTGAATTATACAAGGTTCAAGGGTAAAAGGACAGTACTTGAAGGGGGAAAAGATGCCAGTTTTGTCTCAAAGTGTAAGGATTTTCCAAAACCAAGGGTTTGAGTTATCAGAAATTTACTGATCCTTGGTATCCCTATTGCTAACAGAGGATGTCCAGGACAAGGTTGGTTCACATCAATTTTTGTCAGTAATAATGAGTTTGCTTTACCCAAATGTCCCTAACAAAGATCAGAATTACCTATTACCTGGCATTTTGATGATTTATCAATTGAATATCAGAGACTTGGCATACAAGACCCCTTAGAAGTAATTTGGAAATTTTGAAATAGATTGGACCTTTTGAAATTGCCAGTGGAATTGGAGCTTAAAAAAAACTCAAAATTATGTTATCTTGGTGCACTCAGCGTGGATAATTTCTGGGTAAATAAAAAAGGTACAAAGATAGCTTATAGAAATTACTTGAGTTAAAGATTTTTTTACAAGGGATCACTACTTATCAAAGGCAGTGTGACAGTTGCAGTATGTTTTTGCAGCAACTGATATTTATTCTGTTTCTTTGACCTTCAGACTTTGGCTTCTGGAAATAGGTACTTCATAAGACAGGACGACTTCGTACAATGTGTGAGTAAATGTGTTAATATAGGCTGTTGAAAAAGTTGTAAGGCACCGTGACGAAATTTTCTCTCTGGCATTCACTAAAATGGAATAGATAGAGACCACTCACAATAATGTGAAGAGCAACTGTGAAAGTAACATGTATGCCACAGACAGGTTTTGATTTAGTGACGAATGGGAAAGAAAATATCCATTCGGCAGTGATCCTCAACACCAGCCGGTGTGAAAATCTGGCATCAGCAAAGTTTGTGCGATGGTTGTATGTGCACCAAGCGGTTTAAGAGCCCAATGAAAATCAAAGCGGTAGGATCTGTGAAAACGAACAATCTCTGGCAGCTCGGCCGCGCAACGTTTGTCGCGTCCACAAAACCGCCAGTCTTAGTCACGCAGACTGACTGCATCTCCATGTACGTCTCTTTCCTTTTTGAACTGGCGATTGTAGGTTACCGAGAAGAACGCTAGTTTTTTATTTTATCTCGCCCCAGCACCCCTCTTCTTCTCCTCTACACGATAAGTAGTTTTCTAGGTATTGGAGATGATAGAGCTCTACTACTTGTTCCTTGTTTTGTCTTCAATATTTCTATTGTTTTATCGTCTCAGAATGTTGAAGGTGAATCAATCCTTGGGACAAAGAAACGACGCATTATCATGTTGTCAGACATGCTGCTTTGTGTTTCTCTCATTAAGGGGTAAGAGATTGCCGAGTAGAGTTGAAACCATTTATTTCCTCTCGGAGAATGTATAATTCTAATGATCAGATAACGTTGGTTGTTAATCAAATCAGCAATGAACTGATCGATAGATTGATTTGCTCTTTTTTCTTTGCCTCATTTTTTTAAAAATCTATGTTTGATTCTATATTTATTTTATTGATTGCTTCGTTAATTTTTAATAGTTGTTAAAAGTCAAGAAATAGTTCTAGAAAAGAAACATAGAATTTCATCTTGAATCAGGGAACATTTGTTTTTACAACAAAATAACAAATGCAATTCTCGTCTTCTTACATTGGGCCTCGATCCAAAGGATTTTTTGTGACTTTTGACCAATATGTCAACCCTTTACACCCTAACATCAGTATGCATATTCTCTATACTGGTCTCTATATATTTCCTTAGAAGCTGACAAGGAGATTTTTTTTTTACCGATCAAGAGCTTCCTTTAATTAGCTGCTGTTCATGCTCCGTTTTCTAGCAACCTTTATGTTTGATCCAGGGGTTGAGAAATTAGATGCTTAGTAACACGTTAAGCCAAAGGAGTACTGAGAGGAAATGACGCTTGTAATTAAAGGAGCGGAACGCTGATCCTGTGTTTTTATTTTGTATTTGTTGCGGCGGGGAATTTTTCGGTTTTACTTTGGAGAACTTGGGGAATTTTGGTAACTGATTTCTTTGGCTACCATGATACAGTTTGGAATTTTTGGTATCTGTGACCTCGTTTCCCTTTCAGGAAGAAAGACCGTGCCATGCACATGGTTATTGACCCAAAAGCCAAGTACAAACTGAAGTGGAATGTTCCATTGAGTGATGTGAATATCGTGGAATATGGTCCGGGTGTTAACATACTGACAAATTCCTACAGAACAACGATAAAGCACTCTAATGAAGGTAGGTACAATGTCTTCTGACACACAGTAATTAAATGAATATGGAAGTGATCTTTGCAGTAACGAACACCATTTAAGCAGAAGTGAAAATAAAGCTGCTCAAGTAGTGTTCATTACTGCGAAGATCTCTCGTATTCATTTAGAAATCCGCAGTTCACATATATGATTTTTCGTTAATTCACAGTCATTCGCAGGTTAAGAGTAGTTTTAGATGAGTGTCATGTGGCACACAGAGCGCAGCAGAATGTCTCTGTGGTGTTCTTACCACAATTTGACGTCCTTTGTGATCTTTTGCATTACACACAATTAGCAAAATGGAATCTATTTGTTTCGAATGATAAAAAATTGCAAAATTTTCCCAAACAGGTCAGTATCGAAGTGCTTACAGTGGTTGCCGGGAACACTTTGAAGACCTGCAGCAGGACTTAGCTATCATTGGTCAAATCGCTGGCCTCGTGTCCACGCTAAGACGGTCATACCAGGTTAGATTCGTATTCGCGCTCTTGGAAAAGAGGTATTCTCTTCAGACCGTGTGATTTGAGACCGTGAATTGACGTAAAATGAAAGGATCATAAAAATTGGGGGAAAGGCTTGAATTGAAAACGAAATGATTCCGAAACGTTGGGATATTAGTCATGTATAGCACCAGTTGCTGTTAGATATGTAATTTGCTTTTGGTAAAAATTTTTCAGGTTCTTGATATGGAAAAGGTTCAGAAATGGCACAAGGCAGTGCAGAGGACAATCGAGGAAGAAACACGACTGGCCAATCTTTATTGGCTCGAGTTGTCATTACCATCTAAGTAAGAGTAACACTAAACGGTGTAAAATTATTTCGAACTGAATTCGGGGATTTTTGGTAAAAATGGTGCCTTGAATTGTGAATTTCTATGTAACAACTGGGTGCAAAGTCGTGTTGCCCATCTTAGTTATATGTTTAGCCGCACGTGTTAATGTCCTAATAGTGAGCTTTAAACAGTTGGTAATTTAGCTTCTTTCTCTTTCGTTACCCTTCGTGCTCTTTTAGAACTTTTGATTTAGTATTTTTGAACGCAAGCAATCGCTTTGGTCGGTTGGTCAGTAGGTCAGTGACTTTGTTGATCAGTGGGTGGGTTGTTCACTCAGTCGTTTAATCATTTATTTGGTTGGTTAGGTATTCAGTCTCAGTCAGTCAGTCAATCAGTCTGTCTGTTAGTCAATCAGTCTATCTGTCCATTAGTCAGTCAATCAGTCTGTCAGTCCGTTCAGTTAGTAAGTCTGTCAGTCAGTCGGTCAGTTTGTTTGTCAGTCATTCGCTCTGACGAAGGGCTCATCCTCGAGACGTCAACTGTAGAAACTCGTTACGGTGGCTTGTTGACATTATCAACGCAGTTGATAAAACCAAGTTATCTTGTTACACCGCCTCCCAACCCCCGCCCCTCCCGACCGTCGCCGCACTGCAGTTTCTTTGGAAACTTACCCTCGTTATTCGTATGTCTGTCAGTCGATCAGTCAGTCAGTCATCCAGATTGTAAGACAGTCTTTCGGTCAGTCATCCCGATATTACTCAACAGGATTTGGACCATTTATCCCTGCGTCACTTGAATGAGCAATATCATCAAACGCATTAACTAGTTAGAGCGGGTTCAATAAAACTAAAAAAAAAGAGAAAGAAAGAAAGAACACCACAATTATCCTGATGAATACATTACTTGGTAGTACAATTGTTTTGCAGGAATGGCAATGTAAACTACATTTTTAGCACAGACTCGCCAACAGTGAAAGCGGAATGGGTCACAGCTCTTAATACGTCTAAGTTGCGACTGGGTAAGTCGAGTTTTTTTCTTGCATTTACTACCAGCTATTTGTGGAAACTCCCTCAGTGACTTGTCCCAGTGTGCTTCTACCAAGCGACCAGAACTTGACTTGCAGAAAGATATTATGAAAAACATGAAGCGAATCTTTCTTGAATAGACCGCCACATAGAAGTTATCTTCCTTAAATCGAAATGTTTGTGGAATGTTAGGGTTAAGGGTTTCCCTGACGTTTAAGATGATTTTCAATGTGGCTAAATTCTCTTTGTTTTTCGTTTTTTGTTTGGTTGCTTTCTAGCCCCTGAAAACAATCCAGGTTGGTATCTTCCAGAAGATGATGGAACTGGAGGCGTGGCCGTTCAAAGGCGGAACATGCCTCTCCTCAAAGATAACTCAAATTTATTTATGCTCAACCAGAAGGCAAAGGTACTTTATCATGTTCTTGCAACGGAAACGTTTACAAGGAGCTGAGAGAGAGTAGTGTCAAGAGCATTTCCCCCACCACCGTGACTGGTTCGATTCTAAGACCTGTAGTTGGTATCACATGTGGGTTGAGTTTGTTCCTGGTTCCCTATTCTGTTGCGGGGGTTTTTGTCCGTGTTTTCTGTTTCGCGAGTTTACTTCTTTGATGCTATTACTTTTATAGTGGGTTTGTTCTCTACAGAAATTTTCAGGGACATGTCTAAATGCTTATAACTTTATGTATTCATATTATCAGAGGATACTTTATGTAGGTTGGAAGGTATTGCTCGAACGGAGGTAGACTAAGAGTACTGAGTCCTTTCTTTTTCCGCGAAGTCCGTCGCGCGAGTAAAAACAAATTGGTGAAATCGAAAATTGATCTTATCGCGTTGGGTGTGCCTCACTCTCAAAGTTCCACTCGGCGCGCTAACATCAGTTTTGGTTTTCACTGATTTTTTTTTACTGGTGCGGACTTTGCCGATAAGGAGGGACTGCTCTTTGCCAGTGATGAAGGTTCAACTCTTTTTATTATTTTTTTCTTTACAGATTCAATGTATCGTGAGTTGTCCAGATATTTCGGATTCTCTTCCCGGTGTCCACGACAACTACAACATTCTTTGGCTCCTTTGCGGAAGTGGAGATAATGCCGGTCACGTGTCTGTAGTCAAAGTTTCCCTTGCCACCCCTCCACAGGTGGTAGAGTCGTTTCACGTGTGTGAGTCCAATATCTTGTGTGGTGCGTACATGGAAAGGACCTGCGGCGAGGAGAAGAAATTCAAGGGAACGGTCAGCGGAAGGTTTGGCTTTCCTTTTCCCACGGTCTGGTTAGGAACACAGGGAGGAAGGTACGGTCAAGGACCACTTCTGTCAGCCAGGCTTGGCTCATTGTTTGAGGTCTCAGCTAATCTATCATTCCTTACCAAAAACTGCATTGTTTCCCTATTCCTAGAGGTGGGCAGGTTACCCCGGTTAATGAGAAAGTAATAAGCCGATCAATTCGAAGCTTTAACATACCCCCCTCCCCCCGCCCCCGGAGTAATCCACGGGCATTTTGCCGTCGTCCATGCCCGGTGGGTGGGGACGGAGGTGGGGAATTTAAACAGGCGGTGTCAATTCTTTTTAGGAATACAAGTGTTATATCTTTAAATTTAGAGGTGTTTAAGGTAAGTAATTTACTTTCGCGAGCAAATAGCTCAAAAAAAGGGTCTACCAGGTCTAGATTTTAAAGCTTGGTCAATGTGCAGAAAGTCACCGTAGCTGATTCTGTCTTTTACATGAAAAATTGGGAGGGGCATTTGAACACAATTTTGCCCGATGGGGGGCGGGAATCTGAATAAACTAATCTTCCATAGTTCAAATAAGGGGGGCGGGGAAGGGGAGGAGGGTTTGCCCAGGGAGATGTTGAAGCTTTGAGTTGATCGACGCATAACCTGTGGTACTGCGGTAGGCTTGCATCCCACTCAGGGAGAGTACCAGTCCTCCTAATTACGAATCAGCAAGTTTGACTTCGAACTTAACATGGATACAAATTGTCTCAACTTTGCTAACCTGGAAAAGTTTTAGAACTCATCTATCTTATCACTGACCTTTATCACTCTTACACGTTTTTCCTCAGAATTTTTATCTATAATGCGGCGGACGCCACACGGCGCTACGTCATGTCAGTAAAACTTCCAGACGCAGTCTTGCAAATCAAGTAAGCCGATAGTAGTTACGCATGCTCTATACGATTGGTAGTGGGCCTGTGGATATTTTGACTTATACAGAGATTGGCTTGCATTGAAATGCAAAAGATGAAAAACCTCCTGTCCTTCTTTGTCGGTTAGCTTCAATTTTACCACAACTGGCAATAATGTCGCAATCTCAGTGATCGGCCAATTTGCCGTTGTCGATAAGACTACAGACAACGCTGCTCGCGTCAACTCGTCACGCAAGGGTCACGCACTGAAAAACTCGTTTTACTTGACGTCGATATTGTGGTAATAAAAAAATCGATTGTGGTTTAGCGTGGTCTGTATTGTTACCGGCTGATCCTCGTGATTCGACAACATTTTGTTCACCACGTTTTGAAGCTAATGCATGACTGTTGAATAATTTCTCCTTGTCAGCACTTAAAGAAAAATTTAGAGAACAGTGTGGAAAATATGCAGAGAGATGCTTGGGTGTAAAGGGTTAAATTGTTAGAACTGGACGATTGCACTGAGGTTTTAACATGGCGTTGCACTACTGTGCCCTCATACAGTAATTTCTGGTGTCAACTTACTCACACTCATTTTTTCCTTTTTTATATATATATTCTTTTCAGAACGATAAACATGAAAATCTTTGCAGCTGTGGCTGATGGTAGCGTTATTATTTTCAAACGCAATCAAGGTAACATGAACGAATGAATCATCAATCCCATGTTTTGTATCTATTCATTCTTGAACCCTGGAACTCTTCTATCTTACTTCTCCTTACAAAATCAGCCCTAAGGTCACGAGAATAGGGAGAAATTATCACCAACTAAAGAGGCTCTTGATTGCTAAACAAATCCTCTTTAATGGCACCTTAGGAAATGTATAGAGAACAGTATGGAGAATATCAATACTGATGTTAGGGTGAAAAGGGTTGAATGTACTGTAATTTCGTGTACATTGCGCTTCTCTGTGACTGTCATGTGTTTTTCGTAGTGTTAGAGTATGTTTTTCAGTTCGTGTATATTTATGTGCACTTTTCTGTAACATCTATCACCCTTGAAATAAAAACTCGTGATCAATTTAAACATTGAACGCCGTACCGTTCTAGTGGAAAAGTGCATACAATTGCTCCTCATCAACTTGCATACCCAATAATTCCATCAGAAGTAACATGCGCAGTAAAAGTAAACATTTTTAACCAAAGGAATCTATGAGGTGGTAGGAGCCAGGCAACACGTACATGCTGGCTATAGCAGAATTGGCAAGGGATTTTTAGTCTCCTTTTTGCATTTTATTTGTATTTAGCGGGCACATGGAACTTCAGTGAACCAAAGGCCGTCGGTCTCGGTAAAGCTCCTGTCATGGCGATGGCGGCTGTGAAAGAAAATCTTTGGTGTTCCTGTGGTAACAAGCTGTTCATTTTAGACTGCAATGAAGAGATTATCAAGGTACCTGTTAATGACGACATATATAAAAAAAAAAAAGAAAGAAAAAAAAAGAAACGTTTCATAGAAATTGCAGCCAGTGAGGAGAGCTACACCGGGCCTCGTCTTTCTTCTTAGGTCATGAAACGTGGATAGAAACACTTCCAAATTTTTTTGGATATAATTGGATAGGAGGGGAACCGCGCGCTGTCATTGGTCAGATGAGTGGTCCACACTCGCCAGTATGGCTCCTTAAAATTCAGAGCCGTTCTTCGCCAAAATCTCGCGTTCTTTTTTGCCAATTGTTTTCGGACAAATGAAACTTAATTTTGTAGATGCCTACTAGAAGAGGGGAAAAAATCCTAAACGAAAAATATATATTCGAAAAGTGATTAGCTTCGAGGTAAGTGACGTCGTAGTAAACATCAATGACGCATTCGCCTGTGACCTATATTTTTACCTTATTTCTAAATCTGTGATCTTCAACTCAACTGACACAGTTTGATGACGATATAAAATTCTTCATCCATTTATATGCACCTAAAGGGCATGGAAAGGGAGCGGGGATGGCGCACTCGCCTCCCACCGCGGTGGCCTGGGTTCGATACCCGGACTTGGCGCCACATGTGGGTTGAGTTTGTTGTTGGTTCTCCTCCCTACTCCGAGGGTTTTTCTCCAGGCCCGCAGTTTTTTCCCAGGCCGTCAGGTTTTTCTCTAGGTCTTCAATTTTTCTTCCCTCCACAAAACCAACATATCAAATTTCCAATTCGACCTGGAAACAGTGGACAAGAGAGCCACCTCGTGGAATGCCTACCGCTTATTTCCCATTAATTTCACATTGGATGAGCGTCATTATTTTCAATTATTTTACAAAGCACGTGATTGAAGTCGATGAAAATCCCAAGACGAGTATCAAGCTTCTTGTTTGTTACGGTGTGGGTGTGTGGGTGTCTGTCTGGAAGCAGCCGTCAATCAAGTTGTTCCATAGTGAGACACTGAAGCACGTGCAAGATATCAGCATCGCCTCTCCTGTCACCAATATGCAACGGGGTTAGTATAAATATAGACTGAAACAAAAAATTAAACCTGAAATTATTAAAAGTAAAATTTTAATACCTTCAAGTATCTTTGGATGGTATGTTGGTTTGTGGCAGACTATCTTCTCGGTATTCATTGCCTGAAAAATATGTTGAGTTGACCTCTTGTTCAATATTTATTTTACGAATGAACTGCAAACACAGTAGTGATATGTTCCCGATTGCAACTAAGCGTAGTGGCACACTGCTCCACTTTGAATTAGATGTCTGGTGAGCTGGGCGACTACACATATCTATCCATACTGAAGAAGCACAAGTGCCATCCGTAATGATTAGAGGGAAGGTAGCTTCGAAACGGTTTTGAAGAGGGAATGAGAATGAGCAGTGCTTCCCTGGCATTTTTCTGGAGTGGAGAATGGGTAGAGAACCAGATGCAATTCCCTCCGCCCCACCGTACAACCAGGAATATGTATTTCTGCTCTTTTCTTCCTAGATATCGACTCTCAGCTGGAGAAGACAAAACTAGACCAAGTATATGCCACAGCCCTCGCTGCCGATGAGGGTTTACTGTGGGTCGGTACAAGTGTTGGAGTCACTCTTGTGTTTCCTTTGCCACAGCTGGAGGGAATACCGCTTGTGTCTGGTAAGAAACTGCTTGCTCTTATTCCCTAACAAAAGCTATGGAGCATCATCCCTGATCCGTCCGTTTATCATTCTCCAGGTAGAGCTTGTGTTGCTTTTCACTCGTACGGTAGCAGTGTGCGATGTTTTTACCCGCTGAAGAATAACCCAAACCTCGGAACGGGACAGGGTCCCGACACAAACAAAGTTGACTCGAGTTTGTTTCGTGAGAATGAAGTCAGAGATGCTTGTGTTCAAACAGACGCGGGAATCTCCGGGGTCTGGTCTCACGCGTCACGTGGTTCGGCCTTAGCCAATCAAAGTAATGGTAAGTGTCAATCCTCTTTTCACTGCACTGGTGAGTCTTCAGATTAAAATAATGGAGTTATACTCAAAAATCTTTAAAAATAAAGCAAAAGTCGTTCAACCCTTTAATCCCTGAGAGTTACAAGCATCTAATTTCTCCTTACAATGTCACCCCTGAATCAAACATTGAGGTCATGAGAATAAAGGAAATGATAATCAACTGAAGAACCTCTTGATTGTTGTGCAAATTCTCCTTGCCAGCGCTTCAGAACATGTATGAAGAACAGTATGGAGAATATGCATACTGATGTTACAACTATCTATGTTCTCGCAAGCGGTTAAGATATCAATAAGTGAAAAGGAAGGGTTTCATATAAAATTTTAAAGGGAATTTTGCCAATGTTTTGTGTTAGCATCTCCTACAAAAGACAGTGACAGAGCTAAGGGACAAACTACGGACCGAGAGGATGAGGAGGACTTGTCTGACGAAGATGTCGACAGCGATGACGAGTTTAACTTTGTGGAGGATAAACAACAAACTCTGACTGGTGTACAGATTAGATCAAGTGTAGGGACTGCATCTTCATCGGATTCATTCAAAATCAAGTTCGAAGGGACTGAGGAGTCTGCTAACAGCCTCCTCAGGAGCTCGGTTCATTCCGACGATGTTGTTGGCAAAACCGAATTCCGAGTAGACGACTTCGCCCGAATGTTATCCGAATTCAAGGGCTTTGGAAGCCATCCGACGACAAGTGTTCCGGAGCCACCCCAAATCCCACTCAATCTTCTCAGTGATCAGGCCCATTCCAAAGGTGGAACTCTATCTGAAGGCCAAGAAAGTGGAAAAGCATCTGCAAGTACTGATGAAACAGTTGGAAGTGGTTTTGCGCTCGGACAAGCAGAAATCGGAAGTGGAAGCGAAGATGCAGCTTCCAGGGATAGGGTACTATCTGTTGGTGAAAATGTCAAACTGAACGATGCTCACGCGACTGCTGAAGCTCACGGTAGTAACTTTGAAACCGGAAGTGAGTCTGCTGGGGAATCTTCTGGATCTAAAGGCGATGAACCTAGCGATCTCTTACCGGAAGTTGAAAACAAGGCAGGAAACGATGGCGGTACCGGCAACCTCGAGGTGGGTTCCTTTGCAACTCCAGCCTACTTGGAAGTTCTGAGAGACTCAGATTCTAGGGCTGTAAAGTCACCGGAAACGGCTAAGACGTCAGAAGTGATTTACGACAGTCCTCGGCAAGACGATAGCTACAGTGTTTTCGACAGAAGTCAGTTGCAATATTACACAACCGGAAGTACAGCTAAAGTGGAGAACTTGAAACCCAGGCTGCCGTTCCCTGTTCTATTCGTAAGCGCAGGCGAAGGGTATGCGGACTTGAGGCGAAAGCGACGGGACGAAAACGACAAAGAGCCGAGGCTCATGATCTGGCAAATAATCTAGGAGGGAATCCGATAGAAATCCAGGGAAATCGGAAAATCTTCGTTGCATTTCGGACTGGTCTCGAAAAAGAGCACGAATGCAAAGGAAACTCGACTGAGAAGGCAAGTACAATTTTAGGATTTGAGACAGAGATTTGTATTCAGGCAATTTTATGATTTGCTTGTCATGAGCATCATTTTTTATATTGACTTTTGACTTGAAATAGTAGTACAAATCATATTGAATGTTATTTTATGAATAAACAAAAACAAATATTAAATCATACAGATTTTTAGTTGATAACACAAGATTATTTTTATATCGTTATACAAGTTAATGTAAATTAGGTTGTTTTTGCTATTTTTACGTGTTCTTAGTTATTGCTTCTTTTCATAAAGTTTCGTAGTAGTTTCGTCGTACTTTAGACTGTTTGAAGACGAAGTATCGAAGAACTAAAGCAAAAATAATCGTTACAGCCATTCAAAACAAAATAAGACTTCACAAGAAGCCAACTTGGAGACAGTACTCGATGCTATTGAAACTGGGATGTCTGGCCCATGTATTGCTTGTGAGCAATATTGCCGCAGAAATAGTCTTGGTAAATGAAAATCTGTCAAGGGAAAAGGGCTATTGCAAATTGTCAGTAATCTGCTAAAATTCCAATTTATCTTATTCCTTCACTGTAAACCGTTTTCTTTTTCCACGGGTCGTGTATCACTTGTTTGGAGTGGGGAGGGTGGGGAATTGCAATACAGGGAATCTGTGAACGGACAGATTAGAGGCTTTGGAATTTGTTTTTTGAAACTGATTTAGTTGTGAATTGATAACGTATATGCTGCTTAATTTAATTTATTTGAATATGAATAATAAAAGTTTTCCGGATGATGATTTTTCTGATATTTTAAGTCTCATTTTTATTTCACTTCAACTTCAATGATCTATTTTATCTCCAAAAGCGTATAAATTACCGAAATCAGCCTGAATAAAGTTGGCCCGTGATCTCTCCTTTAAGCTCGCCGATGATTAAGAACGAGTGTGGAGCGTTGATTTCTCGTGTCGCGCGTGGATTCTTGCAGAATGTTGTCAAAGAAAATAATTAAGAAGCGGCGTCTGTTTTCTTATTTGTCTCTATCGAAGAAATCAATCTGTCTCGTTTTTCTTGCCCTTTGATGCTCCAGACAGCTTTAACTGGATTAATTCGTCTGCGAGATTGTTTGAATAGGATTTATCTCCTGCCGGAGTTGGAACAGCTCACACATGCGTCAAAACACTTGTCTTGCGTTTGCTAGCCTAGGAATCCAGTGTTAAAGTACGTCGTCTGCGATGGGCGTTGTAGAGAACATTTCAGACGATTCAAGGACATAACGGTTCAATAACGGACACGACTTAACGTTTAACGACTGACGTGCGTCGGTGTCCGCACAAAGAAAGAAATACGTGAAACTATTTACCGGGTTCACAAGGAGGTTCAAGGGTTCTTTTATTTCGATCTGCTTCGGAACAATCTCGACTCTAATACGGGGGACGAAAGCCTGGATCCACGCCAGAAATGACGGCCACAAATCTGTACAGAGAACATCTGAAAGCGTGCCGCTCAATCTACTGAATATCAAATGTGGAACTCTGCATTGATAGGGTCACAAAGTCAAGTGCGTGTGGTGGCGTGTTACAGATTCTTCCGGACAAATCGCCCGTCAGTTTCAAATGTTTAGGCAATCTGTCTACCAAAAATAAAATAAATTAAACCTTGCATTTGACCCGGATATATATAGAGGGTGCCCTTGTCAGCGCAAATTGCGAAACGCCAGCTGAGAATACCCTGGAATGCTCGGGATATAAATAACACTACTTGACGCTGTTTGAACAATCTTTTGTGGAGCCTTAGTACTGTACGTCGTGTAAGAAACCCAAAGTATGTGTACATATATTTCATTAACCGCATCCCTTCTCCATCTCTCAGAGAAAAAACAGAGCTTTCTCTTCATTTTCCCTCAGGTTTTCGCTTTGCCAGTAATCTGGAAACAAAACCAGTCGTAACGTTTTCAAAACAAGTTGATTGATTGCTTCGAATCTTCCAGAGGCGTCAAAACGAAGGGATAAACAACACAGCATGTGAAGACGTTGATTAAAATAGTTTTGCATTCAATCTGCCCAAAATCCTATTAATTGTTAAAAGTGTCGGTGAAATCCATATCCAGTTAACACAAACGGCCCGAATTATTGAAATATTTGGTCAGCAATGCCCTTGGGGACATGTCAGCACTTGAGTAAAACCCAAAAAACGTAGAACTGAGTCATTTGTTCTCCGGGACGACTAGACGAGCTCGTTGATGAGACAGGCTTTAATACGCCGTAACACACTCAGTTATAGCCACTACAACGTCTGTTCTACGAATTAAACAGTAACAAATGTACGAAATCTTATAGTTCGCGGACCATGCGGGAAGAATTCTCTCATGGGCGCAAGTGAGCGCGTGTGTGTTGCGTGAAGTCGCGCGAGTGCCGATTCCCTATCAATAGCGTTCCCGAGAGGGGAAAAAAAACGACCAATTCTATCTAGGGTCTTTTTTTTTTCTTTTTTCAAAAAAAGTGGTATGAGAAAAATTTCTTCTTTTCTTTTAAAACCGTTAGATATCAGCAGCTTTGTTGCTTCATTTTGCGGTCGGATCAATGAGCTTATGCATATGAAATACTGATCTTCTCAAGATGTTTCTCACGTAATTTCTACCTCGAGAAAACAATTTATATTGTTTGTGGGGAACTAACCATTGTCCTAGAAGCATGAATATGACGCATGACGAAAGAAAAAATCCTTGCTTGTCGAAGACGACCTCCCCACGGTCCAAACTGAAAAAAAAAAGGAAATTATTGAGCCAGGAATTCCTTCTGGTGGGAAAGGGGAGACTGAGGTAACTGAGGGAAATGTCCAGGCTCGCATTCTGCCACAGATTTTATTTGCTGGGTTATTTAAGGGGGGAGACAACCACTGTGCAAACAAACTTCTTTTACCAGACGAAGAGCACTAAAGCTAATCCTTATTTAGGAGCAAGTTCTAATGTGATGCACTGTTGCAGTGCAAGATATCCATGTGTAACATCTTCCTCGCAATTTGAGAAAATTGGATCTTGATTTTATTTTGTAGAGTGAGGCAAGCAGTAACCTAATTGAGCTCTGCTTTGGTTTTTAACATTTTTTTCGAGTGTCAGCCCCTCGTCCTTTGCTCTGAAAATGGGCTAGCGCTTGAAAATCCTTACGGTAGCCAATTTACATTATCAACTTAGTTGATCAGACCAAATTATCTTCTAATACCCTCACCGACGCAGCACCACAGTTTCTTAAGATTCAGACCCTTTTGGAACATATTATTTGCGTTGTGTTCTTGTGCGAAACATTGCTTCTCTTAACCCTTCAGTGGTATTGGAGGGTGATGCCATTTACGGCTAACGATTAATAGTTTGGTCGGCTTACGGCTAACGGTTGGTATTTGTCAACTTTTACGCCTAACGGCCGAATTTTTTTGGCCGTTTTACGGCTATCGTTTAACCCCATTGCGACCCTCGTATAAGAGTAAACCGTTAGCTTGTTGTGTGTGTGTGTGTGTGTGTGTACGTGGGGGGAGGGAGAGGGTATCTTGCGATTGACTAAGTGTTCCATGGGGGGAGGGGGGGAGGAGGAAGCAACAAACTCGCTTCCTTTATGCTACAAAAACTGCGATAAAGTTCGACACACCTTTTCCTTGCAAAAGTCTACAGCTTCCTGCCGAAGTTTCTTTCAGTAGGAGGTGGGGTAGTGTTCATTTACAAACCCTTTCGATAAAAATCTCATCAATTCCCCTTTCTAGTGGATAGTAATAACATTTGCTTGTGGAACAAGGTCTTTACTGGTCAACTGATACTGAAGTGTCATATTAGCTGCAATTGAGTCCTTTAAGTTTTAAAACAATTTAATTTTCACACAGTTTACATTTTGTGGTCGAAGGGGAGGTTATCTGCACGGAACATTGAGTAACACCTATTCTACTTACACACAAAAAACTAGATAATAAAAAATTAGAAGGTATCTATTCGATTTCGTGAGCGAACTTTCCAATATATTGCAGCACATTCAGACTCAAGATAACGATAATGTATGGCACAGACATTTCTGATTCACATTGTGTCGCGCATGTGGCATGTTAATTTTCGAAACTCTGACATAAGCACCTGCCCGCAGCTGTTCGCTTTATTTTAATTATCTCGACCGAACTTTGATACGACGACTCGGAAAATAATTCATAATTTCCTTATGCGTAGCTTCCTGCATTTTTTTTAAGCGATTGTGAAAAGATTGATGCGTGCTATGAATCGAGTGAGAAAAAAAAAATACAAATTTATTTTCATTATTATTCCAACATAGCCCCACTTTTTCGTTGAAATAGACGAACGATATGTCGGAGATAGCAAATATGAATATGGTTTACCAAGAAATAAAAATAGATTTAATTTTTTCGAAGTGCCACTTCAGACGTCGGTTCCAAAGTTGATAATTTTTCTCGCGCACTCATTGTCACGTCAAGTAGCGTTAACGCGAAATAACGTCCGCGGTCACGCGCGTTTTCTGTTCAACTGCTTCCGAGAAAATCATGCATGCAAGACACATGCAGAAATAATTTTGAGGGTTTTTTTCGTCTTAATACACTGTCCGCCGGACATAACATTTTTATGAACAAAAAAAAGCTCTCTAAGTAATTAATCAAACTTTCACTGATCCATGACCACACGGCGGAAAATTGCTTTTATGTTATCTCAATTTTATCTCACGCCGTAAGCATATTCGTCTCAATTGCCTAATTATTCTTGTCTGGAATATTTAGATTGTCAATATTTGGCTCTGTGGTATTAAAGTAATGCCGCTATACATCTGCTGTAGGATTATGTAAAAACACGATCAAAATTTTCGAGAATCTGATAAGAAGTTAGCTTCAGTCGAAAACTTAGTAATTTACAAGACGAAATCGACATCGAAGATATTGTACACAAAATCCACTTAGCCTTAAACATCAAGTATAGAATTTTGTATTTGAAGAATAAAAAAACGGATTTGATTTTTTAAGAAAGTTCCGTAATCAAACGTAGATTTCGTGTTCCTTTGGATGACAACACTCCTTGATTTAAAAATATTCACCACTCTTTCTATCTGCATCATTTTGATTTATAATTCATGCACCCTTAGGATATAACACTTTGTTAAAGTCGTTCAACTCCAAATGGTCATTAAAACCGGTTTAGCGTATTTTCGTGAGAATTAGAAGGAAATTTGCAAGTTCATGTACTCAACTCACTGTTTTCTAAAAGAGGTTTACGGTTAAAGTTGTTTAGTCATTCCCGTTTTCGGATTTATATTTGGCCTCTCAGCAGTTGTCTAAAAACAGAGCCACTTGAATTATATAAGCTCTCACCCGAAGCTATTTTTAGCATGTCAGATTTTCTGTAAAATATACTCTTTTTGAAAGAAATTGAAATAACTACTCCAACGTGCGAGTGTCTGTAACTCTAACTTGATGGTTGGACTCGCTTTGGAAACTTTACATCCGCTGTTATCATTTGGAATCGAGCGCAGACTGTACACAATAGCCTTTCTTCTCAAATTACACCTAGCCCCGTTGTTTTGAGACTTGGAATATCGGTTTCCTGTTCAATAACACAACTTAAAGATTGTTATGTCTGCCCGGAGTCGCCAAGAACAAAAAAACACGGCATGCGAATATCAAACAATTGGTGGTACGCCATTCGCCTGGAGCCTTAAACCCATTATTTTGACTAAGATGTTTAAATGAAACAAAGTGCATTTTTATTTATGTCAAGTCTAGATTTTTCCTCTTCATTTTTTTCTCCTCCTTTTTCCTTTTAGGAATTTGGTT